TATCCTCAGGACCATGACTGCTTTCCCCTCTGTCTGCCTTCTCCCCTGAGCTTGTTCAAGTCTCTGCTTCCTGGCTGGTTTCTGCCTGAGTCCCCCAAGCCCTTCTCCTTCCTTCATAGGCGGAGATGACCGGCCAGCCTGTTCAGCAGCAGCACTTGCTGCCTCTCCTTGTGCAGACATTGGGACTGCCCCGAACCACAGAGCTCTGGCTGTCGTGGAGGTTTCTTTCTAAATGCACACACATGCGCGTGCGCGCGCGCGCGCGCACACACACACACACACACACACACACACACACACATTTCTGTGTCTTGCCTGTGCTGTGTAGGCTCTGTGCTGCTTTCTCCTAGAACTCAGAGCACTTTTGAGACAGGTAAACCTCTACGTGGGTAAAACTGCCTAGTGACCATGTTTACTCATGAATGTAGCAGGGACTTGGGGAAGCATCCGTTTTGAGCTTAGTCTTTGACACACAGCCAGAAAGGGCTCATCAGAGAGGCCCCTGGATATTTCAGAGGCTGGCGGCATTGTGCACTGATGACTAGACAGCTTGTCATCCTGGGCCACAGGGGGAACAACTGTTTTTAAGGTTTGGCCAGACTTCATGAGCTCCATTCTTTCCATCCTCAGTTATATGGAATGTGCCCGACGCTGCTTAATTACTTCAGTCCCTCTTTTAAAGAAGAAAGCCTACCAAGATTCTAGAGGTACTGCTAGCACTTGGAAGGTTAACTCAGTCATTTTCTTTGTCTGCACACTTAGTAGCTATAAAGATCTTTTCAGTTTTTACAGTACTAATTAATTTCAAGTGCATTTTGGCAGGCAGGCCAAGGGTCTTAACTGGCTGTTCGGAATGAGTTCTATTTTTAAGACTTAAAAAATGGTGAGACTTTTTCCAAGTCAAAAGTTGAATAGCAACCAGCCTTTATTTTGAGTATTTATACAGTAAAATGCCCAAGCGTTCATAGGTAATCAGCTGCTTTTGGCTGTTGGTTGCATGTGCATATTAGGTGAAGGCCAGGGGATGTGCATATTCTTATCTCCTAGCCTGTCAGGAAGCTAAGGAAGGAAGCGAAGGACACTCAGAAAGTCTGTCATGGAGGTGGTCCTTGGTGGTCCTGTGGCTCTGTGGTCTTGTTTCACATGTGGCTAGTGTTTAGCTATTTGTCCTGGTCGACATATGTTTCAAGTTTGACATTCACATAAGAATATTAGGATTTCTTGCCGGGCACTGGTGGCTCATGCCTGTAATCCTAGCTACTCAGGAGACTGAGATCTGAGGATCGCGGTTCAAAGCCAGCCCGGGCAGGAAAGACTGTGAAACTCTTATCTCCAATAAACCACCAGAAAACCGGAAGTGGCGCTGTGGCTCAAGTGGTAGAACGCTCGCCTTGAGCTGAAGAGCTGAGGGACAGTGCCCAGGCCCAGAGTTCAAGCCCCACGGCCGACAAAAAAAAAAAAAAGAATATTAAGAGTTCTTTTTGAAAAGGAATATTATACCCAGTCACTCACCGTTTTAATGGATTTCCTTGTAAAATATGGTATTTTGTAGATAGCCATTGTTTGCTTCTTGACACGTGGGTCCTTCCGATTGTAGTTGCATCTTACATTTCCTTTTAGTGGATAGGCTTTGTGGAGGTTCCAGTGTGGACACAGCACCTGGGCCTGTATCTCTGGGTGTGTATGTGGCTTCCTCATGTCCTTGATGAAGTCCTCGTTCTGGTTTTCAGGAACAGAGGACTTCTCAGAATCCTGGTGCTGCTACTGAGTCAGTGTTCCAGAATGTCTCATGTCGTGCAGGTTGTACCCTGCTGCAGGCTGGCCTGGCCTGGGTCCAGCGGATCTCCACTGTGGGCCAGTGCCCAGCCTTCCTTGACCTTGTTCATATGTTTGCAGATTATGTGTGAAGTTCATAAAGCCATGTTCAGTTAAATAGCCAGGGTCCCTTAATTCTCAGCTTTTGTTTACAACAGCAAGAGAATGAAAACAACAAACAGAAAAGAGAACTGTATATGCTTGAATTCATATCTTTGCTTTATAAGAACATTTTGACATAGTGGTAAAAATAGGGCTTCTCCTGCTAGGAAGGAAATGCTGAGGACAAAGTGTTGTGCGTTTTGGGTTGGTTAGGATTTGGAGTATTTAGATAGACAAAATGAGATGCCTTAGGGATGGCACTTAAGTCTAACCATGGAATTAACTTGTTTCATGTACACCTGTATATACATACACCGCGGGTGATCTTACTGAATTTTAGTACACATTTGTCTTGACTACCACCGACCTAGGAGGTCTGGTGTGGAATGTTCGGTGCAACATCATTCCAGACTTTGGATTTTCAGAGTAGGAACGCCAAACCTGTAGCACTAGTGTGAAAGACCTCTTCCTGCCTGACTTTGCTTGCATCCCACATGCACCATTCTTGGCTAGAACAAAAACAAGCAATTGGTGAGTCACGAGCGGAGGGAACAAGTTGCAGGTGGGACAACAGGACACACACATAGCCACGCTGGACGCCGAAGCGCCCAAGTTCCAGAAGGGCCGAGACCCTTGCTCTCAGCTGCTGTGCCCAGAGAGCACAGCAGCTAGTGCAGAGCCTTACGGCCCATGACAGCCTTTCAGTTTTAAACTCAGACATGTGTCCTTAGGGATGGGAACAGCCCGAGTACCGTGTCCTTGGGGGGCATTTCTGGTACATGAACACAAACTAAGGAAGGTTGCACAGGGCACCGTCACTAACTCCACCGTTACCTGGCACGTAGCCATAAATTCCAGCACAGTTTCACAGTGATGGACAGGCCCTAGACCCTGCAGAGCACCACCTCCAGGCTGTGTGTGGTCTGACCACAGGAGGCAGGGTGCTCCTCGCAGGACCTCAGACGGTGTGCCGGGGTGGCACGGGCGATTCCTCTGCACTCGCTCCTGGCAGGGTGACCTTCCGAATAGACCAGGTGCCTGGGAGGGCTGGTACCAACCACAGCACGTGGCAGGGAGGAGCAACCCGCTGTGGCAGTGGGTGGGATTCATTTTTCTTTTTTACTGCACTGTCTGGGCATCTGCTGTGTGAAGTCATAGGAAGAGATGGAAAAGACCTGCTGCATGACGTCATCTGCCCATCCCCCAGAGCCAGCTGACCCCACAGTATACTTTCCAGAGCTCCAGCCAGCTTCTCAGGAATGACTCAATGATGGAGTTTCCACTGTGTCCCAGAGAGGGCAGGAAAGCTGGCGTAGAACAGCTGCCCGCAGTCAGCGGTGCTGGCCTCCTGTGATGGTGGTCCCCGCGCAGACTGCTGAAGTCTGCGTGCACCGCCTACCTCCCGTCTGCCTGCACACAGGTGGGACAGGCTCCATCACGGAGGCCCCCCTCCGTCGGCACAGCTGTTACTGTGCCAGATCGTGCGTACCTCCCCATCTGGGGAAGGAGCGGGGCCATACTGTCCTGGGCTCCTCCCAGCTCTTGTTGAATCGAGACACAGAGTGAAGGACCGAGCTCTCCCCGTCCTGTGGGAGGCTGGCCTGTGAGCAAACAGTATGGATTCCAGAGTGGAGAACCTGACATTCAGCGGCAGTACATCTTCTGAATACCTGCCTGGTGACAGCCAGCTACTCCACCCGAGGCGCTGGCGCAGCTCAGGCCCCTACCCGGGGGCAGCGTTTCACACGTGCGACACTGAGGGGTCTGGGGGCAATGCCTGGCCACTGAGTGCAGGGAAGGGTTCCTGAGGGGTGAGTGCAGGGAAGGGCCCCTGAGGGGTGAGTGCAGGGAAGGGCCCCTGAGGGGTGAGTGCAGGGAAGGGCCCCTGAGGGGTCCTGGCCACCGGATGGCTGAGGGAGGTGCTGAGCTAGCGGAAGGCTCCCGTGCACACGGAACTCGGGGTCCTCGGCTTGTGTTCATGGCCTCACTCCCTCACGTCTGGGGAGACTCCCTAAGAGGGTGTTCACATGGATCACAAGTGCTTGTCAGTGTTATTTCTTTTACCACGTTTTCCTTTTTGTATATTGAATTTTTACACCCAGGCTTCATGAGCATGTAGTTAAACTAGCACTCCACAGTGTGATGAGTCTCCACAGGATAACGACATTGGGTGTGGTGTGAGTCACGGAGGGTGGGTGGAGAGCGGAGGGGCCTCAGCCTGGCCAGCCCGGCCAGCAGGCTCCACAGCCCTGGACCCCTGTGGTCAGCACTGCCGGGCCTCCCGCATCTCTGACAGGCTTTTATGCCCAGTTGCTGCACCCAGTGGGTCACAGGAAGTGCTTCTGGAGAGCGTGCTGTGAGGCGTTGTGCTTCACACGAACGTCAGGGTGACCTAGGTGGGAGCGTCGCTGGGGTGGCGAAGCCTCCGAGAGACCGTCAGGGGAGTGCTGCAGGGAGCCCTTTCGTCGATAAGCCCATGGCGCCGAGGGTCCACGAGCATTAACAATCACTCGTGATCCCTACCACGCGTCTCCTCCTCCACATGGTTGCTCTGCTGTCTGCAGTTGGCAGCACAGTACCCCAGAGATGCGCGAGGCTGAACGGTGTGGACCTCGTGCGGTCACGAGGGGACAGGTTGCTCAGCTCCGTTGTCATCTGTGGACTTGCCCGAAGCCCATTGCCCGCGGAGACCTGCTGCTCCGCCTGTGCCAGCCTGCTTGGTCCTGCCCTTTATGTTCATACATGCAGTGGAGGAAAGAGCCCTATTTTTTCTGGTTAGTCCTGTTTTTCCCACATCCATGTGGTCGCAGACAGGTAACGCACAGACAGCACAGGAACTCACATATCCACGCAGGCTCATTCACCACTTCCGCAGTACTTGCTCTGTGTTGGGGGCTGCCAGAGACTGCAGGGTCCTTTGGTTGTGAAGGCCAAGCCCCGACGCTGGCTCTGTCCCCAGTGACTCAAACAATCTACCTTGTCACCCCAGGGTCAGGGGTGCTATAGAGGGGATGCAGGGGATAGACATGTCTCTGGGTGCTTACAGAACATCCACTAACGCTGTCGTCTGTGCTGCTGCCCAGATCCTGAGCAAGCTGAAAGGACTGGCGCTGGACACGGAGACAGAACTGGAGCGGCAGGATGAAGCCTTGGACGGCATCACCGCAGCCGTGGACCGAGCAACCTTGACTGTGGACAAACATACCCGGCGCATGAGAAAGCTGACTTAGCAGGATGGGACATGGGCCGCGGAGCTGCCGTGTCCAGCTTCCCACGCCCTTCGTATGGACCTGGGCAGCTGCGATGGGCCGCCTAGAGCACCGCACTCGGGAAGGGCCCCCAGGACGCTGTAGCATGTGGCCGGGCCCTCTGAGGCCTAGGCCGTGAACACCGGGTGACCCCGAGATCTCAGTCTTCACACTTGGGCCTGGCCGGGGCCCAGTTGTCCAACATGAATATGGTCACATTTTTGTCTTTTCACCGTTCTCACCGAGCATTAGAGAAACCTGTAAGTCCTCTTGAAGGAAGTAGGAGACTCAGCCTAGCCCTGTCCTGTCTGAGCCCCACAGGCATGCTCTACCAGCAACACACAAACTCCTCCTGCTCAGCCACAGCGGCACCCACCCACACCTTGCTGTCTTCTCTGGTCAGCCATCTTCTTTGTGCATGTTTGGACATTTACCCCGAAGCTCTACAGAAACACTTCCACCATGCTACCAGCAGAAGGTTGATCTCTGATTTTGCTGCTATCCAGAAATAAAAGGAAAGTTCTGATTTTGGTTCTGAAGCTGTGTCTTGCTGCTCCCCTTTGCTTGCTGGTGTACTTGGAGCAAGTGCACTCACTGCACCACTAGGAGAGCCCACACAGGGAGGGCTGGGCCTTCCACACCCCCACAACAGGACTTGTGACTCTCATGGGCGTTTAAGAAACACGTGCTGTCTGTGTCTGCGAGGGTCTGCAGTGTGTGACGGTCAGGCTGGGAACCAGTGTTTGCAGCTCTTCTCTCCTGGGCTTTATAAAGTGTTATCTGCACACTGTCACGCCCCCACTGTAGCCGGCGCACTAGAGCTCTTCCTCGTGCCCGCTGTGCTTTGGTCTGGCCTCTGCCCTCTCCACTTCCTTCCCAGCCTCTGCTGAACACCTTTCTGTGCCTCGCCTGCGGGCTTTCCTCCCCTGAAGGAGGAACTTGTCTCTCTGCCCCTGGCTCCTGTCCCTTAGCCTGACACCCTCCAGGTTTATGTGTGCTGCTGCAAATGACAAGATTTTATTCTTTTTATTGCTCAGTATCGTCCCACTGTATATACATGTATTTCTACATCCTTTTTGAGGTGCTAGACTCAAGGCCTTGATGCTAGGTAAGTGCCCTACCACTGAACTTGTTCACATACAAAAAATTAAAAATTGTTTTGGTTGGTCATGGGGCTTGAACTCAGGGCCTGGGCACTGTCTCTGAGCTCTTTTACTTAAGTAACACTCTACCACTTTGAGCCACAGCGCCATCTCCAGTTTTTTAGCGGTTAATTGGAGATAAGAGTCTCATGGGGACTTTTCTACCCAGGCTGGCTTCGAACCTGATCCTTAGATCTCAGCCTCCTGAGTAGCTAGGATTAAGGCGTGAGCTGCTGGCATCCATCTCTCTCCTATCTTTTTTGACACAGAGTCTCACTGTATATAGCTCGGGCTGGCCTCAAGCTTGTAGCCCCACGCTTCTGCCACCCAAGTACTGGACTACAGTTGTGAATCACCTTGCCCTCCCCAAGCCTTTACCCACTCGTAGACCAGATGATCATACTGATACACGGAAGGTAGAAAGGCCAGTCTTCAGAACTGGAGGGTAGAATGATGCTCGCCACGGGACAGGTAATGACAGGCACAGGAAGGCCACAGAATGGAAACAAAATTAGGAGGGATGATTTGTAGTGTTCTGTCATGCAGTCTAGCAACTATGATGAATATAACAAATTGCATATTTGAACATGGAGAAGAAAGAAGTTGGGAATGTGGTCACACAGAGAAGTGGAAACCGTTTGAGGAGATGAGTGTACTAATCACCCTGGTCAGCTTTTACAGCATGTTGTGGACATGGGTTGACATGTCTCTAGACCCTAGAAATACGCAACTTGATAAAAGCAGTAACAGGCAGTACTCAAAAGAAGGGTGAGTAGGGAGCAGAGCTTCAAGGCCTCACGTGGGCATATGTGGAGACATTTTAGGAGAGAGGAAAGCACTACCTGTCAGCTTCTGAGGGTGGGATCTGTGTAGAACAGGATGAGGCAGGGCCCCTCTGGGAGGGGCCTCTCTGCTGTGTCCACCCAGGCCAGGGGCCCTGGGTGCAGCCTTGGCCTCCGGCACTCCCTCTCCCAAGGCCAGGCGCCAGCCTCTGGGCTCTAGGCCAAAGGATGAGTCACGGCTTGGGTGCAGCTCAGAGCATCCATGCTGTCAGGAGATTGCACATCCACTACATCTTTGAGCTTTTGGTCCCCCCTGGAAGTTCGGTGCGGTGGTTCATTTTTGGAGAGGTATTTCCAGGCCCCATTTGAACAGGAAAGGTGACAGGGCTGCTCCTTTGTTGGTGGTCTCTGGGACCATGGCCATGGCCTGCAGCTGAGCACCAGGGAGACACCTTCACTGCCACTGACACCTGTAGCACCAGGGATGGAGAAGGGCACGGCTGGTCCTCTGACAGGACAGGGCAGTCCCTAACCTTCACACCTGTGCCCCTGCCCCTCCTCCCTGCCCCTCCTCCCAGCACGCCCCCTAACCTTTCACACTGTGCTCCCCCCTCCTCTCAGGATGCCCCCTAACCTTTCACACTGTGCTCCCCCCTCCTCTCAGGATGCCCCCTAACCTTTCACACTGTGCTCCCCCCTCCTCCTCCCAGCACGCCCCCTAACCTTTCACACTGTGCTCCCCCTCCTCCCAGCACGCCCCCTAACCTTTCACACTGTGCTCCCCCTCCTCCCAGCACGCCCCCTAACCTTTCACACTGTGCTCCCCCCTCCTCCTCCCAGGACGCTCCCTAACCTTTCACACTGTGCTCCCCCTCCTCCCAGCACGCCCCCTAACCTTTCACACTGTGCTCCCCCCTCCTCCCAGCACGCCCCCTAACCTTTCACACTGTGCTCCCTCCTCCTCCCAGCACGCCCCCTAACCTTTCACACTGTGCTCCCCCCTCCTCCTCCCAGGACGCCCCCTAACCTTTCACACTGTGCTCCCCCCTCCTCCCAGGACGCCCCCTAACCTTTCACACTGTGCTCCCCCCTCCTCCCAGGACGCTCCCTAACCTTTCACACTGTGCTCCCCCTCCTCTCAGGACGCCCCCTAACCTTTCACACTGTGCCCCCCCTCCTCCCAGCACGCCCCCTAACCTTTCACACTGTGCCCCCCCTCCTCCCAGCACGCCCCCTAACCTTTCACACTGTGCTCCCCCTCCTCCCAGCACGCCCCCTAACCTTTCACACTGTGCTCCCCCCTCCTCTCAGGACGCCCCCTAACCTTTCACACTGTGCCCCCCCTCCTCCCAGCACGCCCCCTAACCTTTCACACTGTGCTCCCCCTCCTCTCAGGACGCCCCCTAACCTTTCACACTGTGCTCCCCCTCCTCCCAGCACGCCCCCTAACCTTTCACACTGTGCTCCCCCTCCTCCCAGCACGCCCCCTAACCTTTCACACTGTGCTCCCCCCTCCTCCCAGGACGCCCCCTAACCTTTCACACTGTGCTCCCCCTCCTCTCAGCACGCCCCCTAACCTTTCACACTGTGCTCCCCCCTCCTCCCAGGACGCCCCCTAACCTTTCACACTGTGCTCCCCCCTCCTCCCAGGACGCCCCCTAACCTTTCACACTGTGCCCCCTCCTCCTCTCAGCACGCCCCCTAACCTTTCACACTGTGCTCCCCCCTCCTCCCAGGACGCCCCCTAACCTTTCACACTGTGCTCCCCCCCTCCTCCCAGCACGCTCCCTAACCTTTCACACTGTGCTCCCCCCTCCTCTCAGCACGCCCCCTAACCTTTCACACTGTGCTCCCCCCTCCTCTCAGGACGCCCCCTAACCTTTCACACTGTGCCCCCCTCCTCCTCTCAGCACGCCCCCTAACCTTTCACACTGTGCCCCCCCCCTCCTCCCAGCACGCTCCCTAACCTTTCACACTGTGCCCCCTCCTCCCAGCACGCCCCCTAACCTTTCACACTGTGCTCCCCCTCCTCCCAGCACGCCCCCTAACCTTTCACACTGTGCTCCCTCCTCCTCCTCTCAGGACGCCCCCTAACCTTTCACACTGTGCCCCCCCTCCTCCCAGCATGCCCCCTAACCTTTCACACTGTGCTCCCTCCTCCTCCTCTCAGGACGCCCCCTAACCTTTCACACTGTGCTCCCCCTCCTCCCAGGACGCCCCCTAACCTTTCACACTGTGCTCCCTCCTCCTCCTCTCAGGACGCTCCCTAACCTTTCACACTATGCTCCTCCTCCTCCTCTCAGCACGCTCCCTAACCTTTCACACTGTGCCCCCCCCTCCTCCTCCCAGCATGCCCCCTAACCTTTCACACTGTGCTCCCCCTCCTCCCAGGACGCCCCCTAACCTTTCACACTGTGCTCCCCCCTCCTCCCAGGACGCCCCCTAACCTTTCACACTGTGCCCCCTCCTCCTCTCAGCACGCCCCCTAACCTTTCACACTGTGCTCCCCCCTCCTCCCAGGACGCCCCCTAACCTTTCACACTGTGCTCCCCCTCCTCCTCTCAGCACGCCCCCTAACCTTTCACACTGTGCTCCCCCCTCCTCCCAGCACGCTCCCTAACCTTTCACACTGTGCTCCCCCCTCCTCCCAGCACGCCCCCTAACCTTTCACACTGTGCTCCCCCTCCTCCCAGCACGCCCCCTAACCTTTCACACTGTGCTCCCCCTCCTCCCATGACACCCCCTAACCTTTCACACTGTGCTCCCCCCTCCTCCCAGCACGCCCCCTAACCTTTCACACTGTGCCCCCCCTCCTCCTCTCAGGACGCCCCCTAACCTTTCACACTGTGCTCCCCCCTCCTCCTCCCAGGACGCCCCCTAACCTTTCACACTGTGCTCCCCCTCCTCCCAGCACGCCCCCTAACCTTTCACACTGTGCTCCCCCTCCTCCCAGCACGCCCCCTAACCTTTCACACTGTGCTCCCCCCTCCTCCTCCCAGGACGCTCCCTAACCTTTCACACTGTGCTCCCCCTCCTCCCAGCACGCCCCCTAACCTTTCACACTGTGCTCCCCCCTCCTCCCAGCACGCCCCCTAACCTTTCACACTGTGCTCCCCCCTCCTCCCAGGACGCTCCCTAACCTTTCACACTGTGCTCCCCCTCCTCCCAGCACGCCCCCTAACCTTTCACACTGTGCTCCCTCCTCCTCCCAGCACGCCCCCTAACCTTTCACACTGTGCTCCCCCTCCTCCCAGCACGCCCCCTAACCTTCCACACTGTGCTCCCCCTCCTCTCAGGACGCCCCCTAACCTTTCACACTGTGCTCCCCCCTCCTCCCAGGACGCTCCCTAACCTTTCACACTGTGCTCCCCCTCCTCCCAGCACGCCCCCTAACCTTTCACACTGTGCTCCCCCCTCCTCCCAGCACGCCCCCTAACCTTTCACACTGTGCTCCCCCCTCCTCCCAGGACGCTCCCTAACCTTTCACACTGTGCTCCCCCTCCTCCCAGCACGCCCCCTAACCTTTCACACTGTGCCCCCCCCTCCTCCTCTCAGGACGCCCCCTAACCTTTCACACTGTGCCCCCTCCTCCTCCCAGGACGCTCC